AGTTCACGCATTTCCCCAAAGAAAAAATGGAAAAGTGAAATTCAGAGGCGCTGTGGCTGTGCTTTCTGCACTTTGCAGTGTGAGCAATTACCTATGTAGTATTTGACACCTTTCTTCGTTTTTACTTTGGAAATATGTATCCGGACTGGTAGGGGCATATTCGGCTTACCATGCAAAGGTCCTCCGCATTGTGGTGAATATCTCCGGTCGTGACTTACATAAATATTATAGAATTGCATCAGATGATCCCCATACTTTTTTGCGCTGGGAATAAAAGCCTTTTAAAGTCTGGGGATAACAGATGAACCAGGTCATCAGCGCTATTTCCTTTCGCATTTCGGGTATTTTACGGGCGAAATTTCATGAATTGGTAGAGACCGCTAAGACTTAGGTACACAAATCGTGACCAGACGTGCAATCTCCTTGCTTCTGCCTTCCTTCGCGCAGATGACAGGAGAGCAACTTTTAGCCTCGGGCGCAATAATGTGTTTGAAAAAGTTTGATGAGGAAAGTCCTCAAGCACGTTTTCGTTACCAGGCAACTAATACGGGAATCTCTCTCCCGAAACATCAACCCTGGAATTAATAAATGACAACAGATTCACTTTCCATCTGCCGCGAAGTCCGCGCGCGTACATTGATCGACTCGCTTTTGCCTTGATGGCGTCCTGGATGGATTGTAGTCCTTTAATACGAGGTGAAAATTGTTTTCCCGCAAATTTCGAAACTTTTGATGTTCTGGAAGCTTGTTTTTTGTTTTCTTTCTTTATCTTTGTTTTGGTGCATAGATCTACTGCAATAAGAGCAGATAAGAAAGCGTTGAATTTTAGCAATGTATTGCCGTTGAAGTGTTAGTGCTCGCTAAAATCGATACACACTGGCTTTGTGCATCGATTTTGGTGCGGACTTGATGTCGCTGAGCATCCTTGAATTTGCCAAAAAATAGAGTTATAGAGGCTTCATTATAAGTAGTGTTGGCTCGAGCTGTGTTGAGTTTGGTACTTTTTCAGGGATTTAAAGTATATGTTTGTATCTCACTTGTCTCTCAGTTTCCGCTAACCGCTTGCTACTCTTGAAATCTGTGGGCGTCCACTAATATGTTGGTAATACTTGAGTGATTTTTGGTTATGTATGGGTAAACTCTATGCAATGCTTTATGCCATGCAATGCGGTAAGCACATTTTTTGAATACATATTTCATGTTATTTTTGAGTACTTTTTTGATCATTTCTACTAGTGAACCAGCAGTTGAAGGTCCTAGATCTGCATCCCGCGTTTCGGGACCGCCCTCGGTTTCCCGCTTTTGGAAGATTTGAACTGCGCTTGTGATTCTTTATATATTAGATGCTGATGTCGGGGGAGCTGGGGCGAGCGGCGTGGTTATGAGGTGCCGTTGAGATTCTGACTGATCAAGGTCCTTTGTGCTAATCAAGCACTACACTTTAAAGGAGAATTGGAGCTAGAATACTTCTGAAGCCTTGTTAATCGTCTAACCCTCGCATGTCATTTTGAAATCTCACATTCAAACCACGCGTTCGGTATCCTTGTCGATAATGAAGTAGAATGCGTTTGTCGCATGCCAGCGACCCTGTTGAAAGGGTTTGTACATCAAATTTCTGTCCATCATATTTTTTTCAGAGTTTTTTATTTTTATTCTCCCTGTGTTTTTTTGTTCTTTTCAGTGTTTTTGTTGATTTTCGTAATCTTCAAGCAATGCTTCACTATGGTCTTTCACCACTCAGGTTTTAGTTGCTTATCTTACACGTGTGTGTTTTGATATCAGCAAATAAATAAAATAAAATCAAATATCTTTGAATTGCCTGCTCAGATTACATTCACTGCGTCGTTTTTTTATTTGATAATTAGCTTGACTCTAATTATTGTGGGATAATACAGTCGTAATATTATCAGTGATCGTCCCAAAAATACATATTTCTTTGTTTATGTGGTGAACGTCGTCAAAAAAGGCTACATTTTGAACAGGTCAATGTCTCAATGCGTCCTTGAGGTCGTCCCATGCGCATAAAGCAGTTGCGTAATGTTACATAACTTACATGTTTCGCAACTGTTTGGGTTACAAGTAAATAAAT